AGCGACTATTGTGATTCTTTTGAATTTTTTTGAGATGGCATATTTTCAAAAACTAATTTTTATTATCAAAAAATTTGTATGTGAAAAATTTTTCAAGAAAAAACATTTTTTAAATATTTCGTTTCATAGAGAATTGTGATGTGTGTATGGGTGATTTTTTTGCCCCGTTCTCGAGATATTTGGAAAACCAGTAAATCGATTTATTTTTATACCCGAGCGCACTTGTCCACAAGGGTATTATAACTTTGTTCACATAACGGTTGTTTGTAACAGGCAAAACGAATCGAGATAGATATAGACAAATATATACATAAATGATCAGAATGAAAAGAGAAATCGATTAAGCGGTGACTGTCTGTCCGTCCGTCCGTGCGTCCGTCCGCCCGTCCGTCCGTCTGTGTACACGATAACTCGAGTAAAAATTAAGATATCTTAACGAAACTTGGTACATGCACTTCTTTTGGGTGTAGGACGGAAAATGGGCGAAATCGGACAATAACCAAGCCTACCTCCCATGTAACTCTAATTTTCAGAAATACGAAAACTGCGATATTTTAGTACAACATAAACATGAACATAATTAACGCAAAATTGATATTTACAAAAAATTTAGACGAAAAATAAGAATATTAAAAATTTTTGGAAAATGGGCGTAGCCACGGCCACTTATGGTTACATATGTATAGCTTGGTAACCGCTGAACCAATTTCTTCCAAACTTGGCACAGTTGTTGGCCCTGGTACAGCATACCAAATGGCCGAAAATTTTTAAAATCGGACAATAACCAGGCCCACATCCCATATAACGGTAATTTCGAGAAATACGAAATATTAAAGCTAATTTATTCAAAATTGATCATTGCAACAATTCTTTACCAGGAAATGCGCTTATGATAAAATTGTGGAAACTGGGCGTGGCACCGCCCACTTATGATCACATATATGTATCACGCTAACCGTTCTAGCAATTTGTACCAAACTCGGTATGGTTATTGTGCTTGCCACCTAAAAGCAAACCGTTGAAAATTGTTGAAATCGGACTGTAATTACGGCTGCTTTTCATATAACGGTAAATTTCAGAAATGCTTGAAATTGCAATATTTCGGAATTTAAGGACGCTAGTTTACTTAAAATTTATACACCCCGGCTTATCATGTAGCGGTAGCTTTCGGAAAGGTGGAAAACATATTTAACACTTGCGCCGGGTATTTAATGTTCGGCTCCGCCCGAACTTAGACTTTCTTACTTGTTTTATTTTAACTTTAATTTCAACATAGATTGATTAAAAGAAAAATACTGATAAAAATAAAATATTTCACACAAACAGGTTTTAAAATTTGAAATTCCTGCCTGTATTTTGTTTGTAAGTCAAATATTAGTGGCGTTGTGCTACTATGATTGCACGGCCGAGTAATCATAGTCAACTTATGTACTGAACTTGCACGGGGGCGCGTATCGTGAATAACGCTCCGGTGCAGGTTATAGTGGATGGAAATAAAAAACCAAAGTTTGTTTAATTTAAAATATTCAGAGTCAGATTTCAATAAATATAGTGACAGTGGCCTGGTAGCTGCTGGTCTGCTCGCGTTGTTCTTCTGAACCGAAGTGATCTTAAGGATTTGCGGGATTTTAAATCGGACCGCCGGACAACAACCGATATTAAGGGGAAACTTAACGATAGGTTATTATCCGGCGGGAAACGTCAGTTAACGGCGCGAGTTAATCATAATTGGTGTGCATATGTATATGTGTGTGCATACGCCTATATGCCAACACTAGGGCGGGTCACAATAGAATGAAAATCTTTAGGCTGACGGCCTAAACATGCCGGCCCCCTTGCGGCAAGCAACATCTAACATTTATGCAGCAGCTACCAGCTCACCTCTGTACATGTGATTAAACTAAAAAAAATGATGTGAAATTATTCTGGATATAATTGCGATGAGCCAGATTCATCAATTGCCGCTGTATCGTTTCCATGGCCGTTTCCACCTATACTGCTGATTGAGGGGAAGAGAGGTAAAGGCATTAAGTGAAAGATACGTGAATATTTTCAGATGCACTTTTATTACAAAATAAAATTCGAAATTCATGTTTGTACAATAAAAAAGGTACATAAAATGTGGCTTGTAATTTTTCGACTACGTGCGGCAGACGCCCGAAAGCACGTATCCAAAGATTGTGCTTTGGGCCAACAGAGGCAGAACACTGGGCATGACGATGTCGGCGTAGACATCCACGCCGAGGACGATCCGAATCGGAGAGGACCTGAAGAAGTTCGGTCGGCGAGCCGAATGTGCGCATATGTCGTAGCTATGGCCGGGTCGACATTTTAAGGCGGTGATATTCGTCGGTACTTTTTTATTATGTGTGCATGGGTTGCCACCTGCTTATTTACCCCGTGCTTCCCTCAAATACTCAGTAGACAGCCTCTTTGCCTCCCCCACCGTGTTACCTTTAAGCCCAGCACCCTCGAAAGGTCTCCCGATATTACGCTAGATGGTGTACAAGCATCTATCAGTGCCCGAACAAGGTGAAGTCTTCCTCCTGCCTCGACTTTGATGATTGCCGTGGGTGAAATCGACACCATAGGTCGTAGCACCTCGGTTTGTCTCACGGCGCCGGCCAGGCCGATTCGGAAGTTGTTCGGTGCTCTGAGTTGGCAAGATCGTGCCACTATTCCTCCCTGGTCACGATGTTTAGTTAGGCCCGGGGTTAGCTGGTGCGGGCGGAAAGACCCGGTTTCCGCTCCGCGGGATCGTCGCTTATGCTGGCGTGATCGGAAAGACCTAGTTTCCAATTCAGCCACTCTTTGAGTCGTGTGATGAAGCGGAGGTTGGAAAGTCCGAGTTTCCGCTCCCCTGTCATTGTTCGGGCAGAGAGTCCTAGTCTCCGTTCCGGATTCAATACCGTCTCCAGTTTCCAGTTCCGGACGGAAAGACCGAGTTTCCGTTCCGGATTCGGATGCATAGATGGAGATCACGTCCAACTCGTCTTCTTCTTCGTCCACCTGTTGACTCCAGGGTCTCCTATCGATGGGGTCCAGATGAATGGTGGTGTGATGCTTGTCGTGACACCGGCGGCATCTCTCCGCACTAGTGCAGTTTTCCGCTCGATGGGTCATTGCGAGGCAGTTGATACAATACTTCCCAAGTATTGCTTCGCGAAGTCGCTCCTCAGGATTTTTTGCCCTGTAGACCGGACACAGTCTGCCGTTGCATAAGCGACACGATTGAGGATAGCGATGTGCGTGTTGTGTAGCTTTTTTGCGCAATTGGGTGAAGCGAGTCATAGTTGTTGCAATAAATGGGTATATTTTTACGATCTGTTCGAAACGGAAACCATTTATTTAAATATTGTTGGATGGCGAGTAATTTAGGCGGAAATTCTTAATGCATTTGGCATGACAAATTTTTGTTTATGGGATAAAAACAAGATTCTGTATGTGTGAATGTGGCATTATGTGGCTACTAATTGTATTTCATAAACTTCCGCATGTGAATAGGGTATAAGGCTGAGTTGCGATCCATGAAAACGACAAGTGGATCGCCCAAATGCCACGCATTCCATCATACAGGGATGCATGAAAAGATAAAAATTATTTATACCACACGATTTAGTTTTGAATGAATTTTTCTTTTAAATAGTTAGACCTTGTAGTGCCAATGTAGTGTTCTCCATACAATGAACTATTTTTATGAATAACCCGCAACCCTACAACTGGCCTGCCACCCAAAAAAAATTTGGATGCCCCTGTAGGCGATACTCGGCTAAAAACAGGGTAGCTCATATGCAGCAGAATTCATAAGTATAATTGCAGAACCGTTTGGTTATAAAATACATAAATATCATGTTTGCTTATGAAATTTACATCAAAATGTGTGATAGACTTATAAAAAAATTAATGCATTGATATTTGCTTATGACAATGCATCTTTAAGTAGTTATAAATGTATTTATTACAACTACACCTTTTCCAACAGTATTTCAGAAAAACACAAATGTATTTCAGAAAAGGCCAAATGTATTTCAAAAAACCTCAAATGTATTTCAGAAAGTCTCAAATGTATTTCAGAAAAACCCAAATGTATTTCAGAAAAGCTCAAATATATTTCAGAAAAACGCAAATGTATTTCAGAAAACCTCAAATGTATTTCAGAAAAGCGCAAATGTATTTCAGAAAAACACAAATGTGTTTCAGAAAAACGCAATTGTATTTAAGAAAAGGCCAAATGTATTTCAGAAAACCTCAAATGTATTTCAGAAAAACGCAAATGTATTTCAGAAAAATATTTTTAGAATACAGCTATGCTTTTCTGAAATACATTTGTGCTTTTCTGAAATACATTTGCCCTTTTCTGAAATACATTTGTGTTTTTCTGAAATACATTTGAGGTTTTCTGAAATACATTTGACCTTTTCTGAAATACATTTGCGTTTTTCTGAAATACATTTGAGGTTTTCTGAAATACATTTGGCCTTTTCTGAAATACAACTGCGTTTTTCTGAAATACATTTGTGTTTTTCTGAAATACATTTGCGCTTTTCTGAAATACATTTGAGGTTTTCTGAAATACGTTTGGCCTTTTCTGAAATACATTTGTGTTTTTCTGAAATACTGTTGGAAAAGGTGTAGCGAGTGAAACTGAATGTCGAAACTGTTCACTAATTCGAGCTACCTTACTACGTTCACTTTGTGGAATGTGTGTATGTATGTACATTGGTACAAATGTCAGAAGCCATTCAAGGTGCATTTATACAATGGAAAGCGTATACATACATATGTACATTTTTTCATTGCAAAAAATGTCAGAATGAATTCAATGGAAATCCGTATACATACACGGCGAATTCATATTTCTTTTCAATTGTAATACTTTTTCTGGCACGCGGCGGTTGTGTAATCTGAAGATTAGGTGAGTATGTGAAAAATATTGTATTATATAGCTGTGTTTGAATGTAATTCTTTCTTAATTACAGGAGGTTGCTTGGCATAATTTCTGCTGGTGTTATTTTCCGGAAAAATAAGACCAACATGAACACCCATGAGGTTAAAATAAAAGAGTTGACTGCAGCGGATGCATTTGTCAACGCAATTTTGACTAAATTGAGTGGAACAGATGAATAATGCAACAAAAAATCGGTGCCTCGTTTCGGTAGCAGCCTAATTGCTGCAAATTCATCGAACGCATCAAAAGAATGTATTTGGCAGGCATGATTTTACTCGAACGCTCTAGCACATGTTCGAAAATCCTGAAGCTTCGGGTTCATTGCAAAAGTCCAGCTTGAGCTACGGCGGCGCCAAGCACATGCACACCAAGGGTGAACGTGAGCTTGTCGAATTCCTTACTGACGAAATTTTGGCTGAACGTAAATCACCAAATATTTCGACGAATCCCACCACTTTGGATAGCTTCAGCGTTAAGCGGGTTGACGGTGATGTGGAATTAACCAAGAAGAGTGATACGGAGAGCATCGTCATAAATTTCACTGCCAACCACACTGTAGACCCTGAAGATGAGCCTGAACTGGATCTCAATGCTGAAATCGGTAAGATGCGTAGCAAAACCACGCTTTGAAGTGGATATTGTTAAGGGCCCTATCACATTGTCATTTACATGCGCGTTCTTTTAGGGCACACTAGGGATGGGTAGTGGGGGGTTGAAATTCAATTTTTTCCGAATTTCGAACATTGCCCAACCATTCGATTATTCGATTCGAAATTCGGTGGTGCAAATTCGATGTTCCAAAATTTTTTTTTTATTTCAACTTCTTAATCGAGTTCGAGGTGTCAAATTCAAATAATCGCTTCCGCAGATGTTTACATTAAATATTTAACACCAAGTCATAAAATCTGTATCTTTCGTTCGATTTTCAAAAAGGAGGTAGGCGTCAAATGAAAAGGCTTGCCCTGTACATGTGTAATATGGTTTTAGTTTTGTGCCATATGCATATAAGAAAATCAAAATCAAATTATTTAATAAGTTAAATAAATTACCCCAATATGGGTATCAATCGAAATGGTTTTGAACAAACCTTATTTTTTAATTACATTTAGGAGGGGTTCCACCTGTTTGAAAAGTCGAATATAGTTAAAAAGTGTTGTGCTTAGAATATTATGCAACAATTAAGATATTTTTGAGATGCTTGAAGAGAGTGGCCACCTGTCTAAAAAGTTAAACTCAAATTACACTATGGGACAGCCGAAACCAGCCAGGATTTTGTTGACATTCTCTGAAAGTATACCCATCCAGTAATAAAACACTCCGTGGATTTGCAAAAGTTAGCTCGTTGTTTTATTTCATGGCCTACTAAAGTTTTCATGTCTCGGCCTAAGTAGTTTTGAAAAAAGTCGAAAAAATAGTTAAAATAAAATGTCTGAGCGAAATCAAAGTTTAAGACATATATAATAAAATATCATGGGAAATATTTTTGTAGAACATTTCAAAAGGCTTTTATTTGACTCTTACTTCAGGAAATCGCGCCAAAAGCAAATTTGGAAGGTCGCTAGAGGATTGATATATTCTAGAAAATCATTCTTCTGGAAATTTTACTAGGGGTCTTCTCAGGTGAAAGCTTCATGCCACGACGTAAAAGCCTCTACACATTAAAAAAAAAAATTATAAAAAATCAACAAAAAAACTAGTTTAGTACAAAAGAAAAATTTTAAATTTGAGTTCCTTTTAGGCTCAGATGTTTTTGTCCCGATGCATCAGTTCGAAAAACATGTATTTTTTTTACTTGCATCCCTAAGGCAAATGGAGTGCCACACACAGTGATGACAAATTTAGTCAGAAAGAATAAAGTTGAAGAGTTGATTTTTTTGTAAATAAATATGAAATTCGATTTTTTCCTAGAAAAATTCGCTTTTGTCCGAATTTTAGCAACGCAAAGTTCGATTTCAAAAATTCGCCGTTTTGGAGCTAAAATTCGATTAAAATTCGAATATCGAAGCTTCGAAGGGTAGGGTTGCGAAAAGCGATACATCATATGGATACCTCGAACATCACGAGAAGCTAGTCAACAATTTTTTTCTGCATCGGACCGCAGTGGACCCTAAGTTATGTGAGTTTATAAAGGATTGCTAAGTTTTCTTAAAATTCTACATTCTAACTTCGGGCGGGGTGGTTGACTTTAAGCTTGGCCAAGTTAATATATTTTGAAAAAAGAAGAGTGTAGAAAACCAGCAAGTGTGCGAATAATTTACTTTAACATTAAAAGAACTGTAAGTACGCTTAAACTTGCTAGTTTTCGACCGCTTTCGTATCATTCTGAGGCGGAGTAGCTCGCTACTTCTGCAATTATTTTAATTATGAATTCAGATCTGAGGATGGTCGTTTTAGTGTAGCTAGATCAACCCGGGCTAACTCGGTTAAGAACCATCACCGCAAATACAATAAAAAATATTTTAAAAAAACACAAAAGATATGTAAAAATAAAAGCAAATTATCTAAAAAAAAAGTTAGACATGGACTCCCTCCTCTTACCTAGAAGTGGAATGTTATGGTAAAAGGAAGTGGAATATAATAAAGGCGATGAAGGGTAATTTATGAGGCGGTTTTTGGCTCCAAGTTTCCATCGTTGTATTGCGGGAGCAGAACCAACTTCACTAGGGGTCTAGTGACTTGACCTTTCTCCGTCAGTATGTCCACTACGCGCACCCTACCATCGGTACCCGGGTGTAAGTTGACAACTCGCCCCAATCTCCATTCAGTTGGAGGCAGATTGTCTTCCCTTATAACAACGAGATCACCTGTTTTCATATTCTCCTTGGGGTGCTTCCATTTAATTCGCTTTTGTAGTTCGGCTAAGTACTCCACTTTCCATCGCCTGCAAAACGTCTGATGCAGTGCCTTTAGTTTTTGCCATCGATTGACGATGGAGGCAGGGTTCTCACTTCAGGTTCTGGTGGAGCCATAAGATGTCCACCGGTGAGAAAATGGCCTGGGGTAAGCGCCTTCAGATCATTTGGCTCATTTGAATAGGGACTCAGTGGTCGCGAATTGAGACATGCCTCAATCCGGCATAAAAGCGTACTGAGCTCTTCAAAGGTGTATTTGAGAGCGGACGCCACCTTTTTAGTGGCTTTTAAAGCTTTTTACACCTGCCTCCCAGAGTCCTCCCATGTGAGGGGCGGCATCAGGTATAAAATGCCATGTAAGTGTTTGATGGTTATATTTGGAAATCGTTTTGTCTCGCGCGTCAGACAAAAAAGCTTTGAATTCACATCGTAAAGATCGCGAAGCTCCGACAAAATTTGTACCATTGTCGGAATAGATATTCTTCGGGCATCCTCTTCTAGCCACGTACCGAGCAAATGCTGCTAGAAAGGATGGGGTACTAAGTCATTGGTAGCTTATAAGTGAATCGCTTTAATGGTGAAACAAACAAATAGGCAAACATAGCCTTTGGAAATTCGACAACCTCTAACCCGGTAACTTTTAATTTCAAAGGGTCCCGTGAAGTCTACTCCCGTATTCGTGAACGCGCGCGTAAATGTTGTGCGTTCCTGAGGAAGAGTTCCCATAATTTGCGTCTGAGATCGTTTTTTGTAGATGTTACAAATTTTACAATTGTGGATGGTAGACCTAATCATGTTTTTTACCCTGGGAATCCAGTACTGGGTACGGATAAGGCGTAACATGAGTTGATTTTCTCCGTGTAAGGAGACTTGGTAAATCAACAGGACGATAAGACGGGACAATCTGCAGTTATACGGAATAATGATTGGATGGCGCTCATTATATGCTAAGTCCTGGGATGCTCCGAGGCGACCTCCAGCCCTGATGATGTCGTGCTTGTCGACGAACGGATTAAGCGGAAGGATTTCACTCTTTGCATCGATGGGTTTTGTAGTTTTAAAATTCCTGTATTCTTCACCGTAGTGTTGCTTCTGGTTGATTTTTATCAAGAGATGTGTCGTCGTCTTAATTTCATCTGATGAAATTAAACAAGAATTTTCCTGAAATAAAGCCCTTGTTTTCGGGTGAGTTCTTCGGTAGAATCTCCTGACATATGTTAACACTCTCAAGGCTCTCGGTAGATCTGAAAACCGGTCAAGGATATCGATATCATTTACATGCATAAGCGTGTGCCTTTTTTCTTCAACTTCTGTGTTATAGTTAATTTCTTGAGCAGGCCATTTAGAGTTGTCTTCTTGCAACCAAGAAGGTCCCTGCCACCACAAAAAATTGGTCACCAACTCTGACGCAGGCAATCTGCTAGCCAAGGATTCGAAGCCGAGTCTACACGTAACCAGTCCCTGTTACCGACTTTTTCTACTATTTTTGTAATTCGGTGTGTGACAAAAGTTGACCAAGAACAAGGCGGCTTTCGTATCCATGCGAGTACGATGGTCGAATCTGTCCAAAGATATGTTTTCACTTGCCCTAGGTTTAGGTTGTTGATTACGGATTTTATGATTTCCGCGAGCAGTACGGCTCCGCAAAGCTCTAGGCGTGGTAGCGATATTGTTTTGACAGTAGCTTCTTTGGTTTTTGCCAAAAGAAGGTTGACCAAAACTTTGTCATCTCGTTTGACACGCATGTATGCAGTAGCCGCATATGCTTTCTCCGATGCGTCGCAGAAACCATGTATCTGGATGTCATCTCCTGGTGCGAAGTGTACCCATCGAGGTATTCTAATATTGTCTATTTCATGGTAATGTTTGGTAAAATTCTGCCATCGTTCCATAGTAGTAGAAGACACAGTCTCATCCCAGTCTGTGCCTTCTAGCCAAATACTCTGCATGATTATTTTGGCCACGACGACTATTGGAGCAAGCCATCCTAGCGGATCAAATAGCTTGGCGATAGCTGATAGTATCGCCCTTTTTGTAAGTGTCTCGCGGTCCTCCAATGGTCTTGCCATGAAATAAAATAGATCGGTATGGGCATTCCATCTTATGCCAAAAGCCTTAACCGTTCTGGTATCTTCGAATGCCAAAAAGTCTTCACTGAGTAGATCCGTTTTTGGAATTTCCTTTAGAATTTCCGCACAGTTTGAGGTCCATTTCCTTAGCGGAAAACCGGCTGACCGTAGCACTTCAGAGATTTCATATCTTGCTTTTACGGTAGAGTCGATGCTGTGTCCTCCAGCTAGCACGTCATCCACATACATGCATTTTCGTAGTATGTTAGATGCTATTGGGGAAGAACTTTCTACATCGTCAGCCAGTTGTAAAAGTGTCCTTATCGCGAGGTAAGGATCACAATTAATCCCGAAAGTTACAGTCTTTAATTTGTATAAACTTACAGGTTCGTTCGGGTTTGTACGGAAAACTATCCGTTGATATTTGGTATGGTTGCTATCCACCCAAATTTGTCGGTACATCTTCTCGATGTCACTATTAAAAACGTATCTGTATAACCTCCAGCGGAGTACAAGGATCGGAAGATCTGCTTGGAGAACTGGACCTGGGAGAAGTACGTCGTTCAGACTTGTGCCATTAGCCGTTGGGCTTAAGGCATTTTAGTGGAGGTACTTTCTGCCTTTATTACAGCATGGTGAGGCAAAAAGTAGTTATCGGAAGAGGCTGCTGAATTACTATCATTTATTCTGGACATGTGTCCTAGTGATTCATATTCAGC